GGCTCAGGGGTTAAACACCCCTTGGTTCAATCCACGCTATGAAAAGAGAAAAGTGGGGGGAATGTGTTACATACACACAATGGAGTATTATACAGCGATGAAAAAGAATGAAATCGTGTCATTTGTGGTAAAATGGGTGAAAGTGGAGATCACCATGAAAAGCAAAGAAAACCAGACTCAGAAAGAAAAAAGAGAAAGGGGACTTTCAGGGAGGGCGTCAGGGAAAGGAAAAGGGAGAAGCAGGGAGCAGGGATACGATCAGAGTCTGCAGGTACCTGTATTCCCTGTCACAGCGACTGCCTCATGTGTGCCATCTGCCCTAATCACCATGACACAGCCGTCCACACAGGGACTCTCCGTCTCTCCCCTCAAGGGGACTTCTTGGCACACCTGAGTCTTTGACAGCAGTGACTTTGTCGTCATTGGTCCCCCAGCCAGCTGCCCAGGTCCCCCCCCCCACGTCCCTCTACACGACTTTCCAGAGTCCTTCCTCTTAACTCCAGGTCACCTGCCACCTGGGGCCTCCTGGAAACGCCCGGGACACACCGCCCATGCGCGGTAGAGTATTTTCAAGCAAAACCCAGACGCGGGAACAGTCGTTCTGTAGACCTTTAGGGTGTACCCCGCCATGACGTCCCGGCCGCCATGACGTCCCGGCCGCCATGACGTCCCGGCCGCCATGACGTCCCGGCCGCCATGACGTCCCGGCCGCCATGACGTCCCGGCCGCCATGACGTCCCGGCCGCCATGACGTCCCGGCCGCCATGACGTCCCGGCCGCCATGACGTCCCGGCCGCCATGACGTCCCGGCCGCCATGACGTCCCGGCCGCCATGACGTCCCGGCCGCCATGACGTCCCGGCCGCCATGACGTCCCGGCCGCCATGACGTCCCGGCCGCCATGACGTCCCGGCCGCCATGACGTCCCGGCCGCCATGACGTCCCGGCCGCCATGACGTCCCGGCCGCCATGACGTCCCGGCCGCCATGACGTCCCGGCCGCCATGACGTCCCGGCCGCCATGACGTCCCGGCCGCCATGACGTCCCGGCCGCCATGACGTCCCGGCCGCCATGACGTCCCGGCCGCCATGACGTCCCGGCCGCCATGACGTCCCGGCCGCCATGACGTCCCGGCCGCCATGACGTCCCGGCCGCCATGACGTCCCGGCCGCCGTCCCCGTATCCCGGAAGTCCACTGGTGCTGGCCCCTTCATTGTCACACATGGCAGCTCCAGGCTTCCTCAGTGTCCCCTGCCCCAGTGGCTCAGCCCCCTCAGCCCCTGCACTGGTCTCGGGTCCAGTCAGGGTCGTGGTCACCTTCTGGGCTGCTGGCGGTGGCCCCTCTCAGGCTGGGGCAGGACTCTCCTCCTTTGGGGTGGGGCACTGTCCCCACGCCGCCTGTCTGGGCCGCTGCGGGCAGCTGGTCACTGATGTAGGGCACGGCCAGGGGCCAGCCAAGGGTCCCCAAGTCCCTCCGTGGAAGAGTCGCCCTGGAGAGCGGGGACCCGGGACGAGGGAGCCTGTCGGTCACTGAGACGTGACGTGTGTCACCGCAGTGCTACGTCGCCTGTCCTCACTGAGGGACTTGGGAGGGTCCAAGGCCCAGGCCCAGCCGTGGGCGGCCGCTGTGCCCGGGAGGAGGACATGGTCAGAGAGATGGCCAGGGACCGTCCGCACTGCGTGGGCCTCGTCCAGCACCTGGCCTCCAGCGGACGGAGGCCCTCGTCTCTGTGCAGGGTGCGGGTGACAGAAGGACCAGGCAGGGGCTGAGGAGGGACACCAGGGTGGCAGGTTCCAGCCCGGCTGGGCCCACAGTGGTCAAAGACCTGCAGGAAACTAGGAGCTGGGCATCAGGATCCTGGAGTCCCTGTGTCCCCAAGCCAGCTGCCTCGGGTCCCCAGCCACCTGCCCCAGGCCCCCCCAACCAGCTGCCCCAGGTCTCCAGCCACCTGCCCCCAGGTCCCCCCAACCAGCTGCCCCAGGTCCCCAGCCACCTGCCCCCAGGCCCCCCCAACCAGCTGCCCCAGGTCTCCAGCCACCTGCCCCCAGGTCCCCCCAACCAGCTGCCCCAGGTCCCCAGCCACCTGCCCCAGGTCCCCATGTCATTAGTCCCTGGTCCCCCCAGCCAGCTGCCCCCAGGTCCCCCCAACCAGCTGCCCCAGGTCCCCAGCCACCTGCCCCAGGTCCCCATGTCATTAGTCCCTGGTCCCCCCAGCCAGCAGCCCCAGGTCCCCGCAGCCACCTGCCCTGGGTCCCCCTCCCCAGCCAGCTGCCCCCAGTCCCCCCAGCCAGCTTCCCCAGGCCCCCCAGCCCACTGCCCCAGGTCCCCAGCCAGCTGCCCCTGGTCCCCCAAGGCACACGGAAGAATCACTAGGTCCCCACGGTTTCTAGGGGAACCTGGTTCCATCGTGGCCCCTGGCTCCCTGGGTTGGGGGTCTGCAGGCCCCGGTCTCCAGTCCTCTGCGGCCCCCAGTGGAGGGACGCACACCTGGGACAGTTCATCACTGATCAGGTTACGCCAGGCCCAGGGAAGCCACCCTCGGGGGGAAAGGCCTGTTGGTGGGACACAGAGCTTGGCCACCAGTGTGGGGACCTCCCAGGCACAGAGAGTGGGAGAAAGTTCTCGAACTTCCACCCACATTGAAACGAGCATCACCCGGAAGAGCAGGGTCCCCGGGCTCAAGGAGCGGCTGCAGCCCCGTTGTCCTCTCCTAGCACAGCCCTGGGCCCGAGCTGCGGAGGCCGTGGGTTTTTGTTTGGTTTTGTTTTCTTTGGTTTTGGGAATTGAATCCAGGGGCCCTCAACCCCTGAGGCCTGTCCCCAGCCCTTTTTTATTGTATTTAGAGACAGGGTCTCACTGAGTTGCTTAGGGCCTCGCTAAGTGGCTGAGGCTGGCCTCCACCTTGCGATCCTCCTGCCTCAGCCTCCTGAACTGCTGGGATGACAATTGGATGCCAACTTGGGAGGATCACAAGTTGGAGGCCAGCCTCAGCCATTTAGCGTGGCCCTAAGCACCTCAGCGAGACCCTGTCTCTAAATAAAATACAAAATAGGGCTGAGGACGGGGCTCAGGGGTTAAGCGCCTCTGGATTCAATTCCTGGTACCATTTTATTTTAAATAAATAAACATTAAATAAAAGAAGTGGTGTCCAGCATTTGCGTGGACTGTGGACAGCGGGCGTAGTGGCTGCAGAGACAAATTGTAGCTTCACTTAGGTCCTCACTCTCCAAGCTTAGGAAAATGTCACTCATGATGCAATAGATAATTAAACAATATATTGGCAGAGGGAAAAAACATAGTTCAAGACACTTGCCAAGCCGACATCAGGCACAAGAGGCCCTGAGGGCTGCCTGTCCCTCCTTAGGGGTCACCAGTCCAGATCTGCCTGTCCCTCCTGAGAGGTCACTGGTCCAGATCGGCCAGAGCACTGGAGCCTTGGAGGGCTGCGTCTTCTCAGCTGCTTTTGCGAGAGCTGAGGACACCCCTCATTTTCAGCTGACTTTGCTGTTGTTATTATTATTTTGCTTTGGTGCAAACTTGAGAGAATCTTCCTATCATAGCCCAATCAGAACCGGACTTCCTGCTCCATCTTTTTTTGGGGGGTGAGCGGGTACTGGGGATTGAACTCAGGGGCCCTTGATCCCTGAGCCCCGTTCCCAGCCCTATTTTGTATTTTATTGGGAGACAGGGTCTCCCTGAGTTGCTTAGGGCCTCACTTCTGCTGAGGCCGGCCTCCAACTTGCGATCCTCCCACCTCAGCCTCCTAAGCTCCTGCGAACACAGGCGTGCACCACCGCGCCCGGCTCCTACTTCATCATCGGATCCTAACCTCAGCACACACACAGTCAAGCGTGAACCGTGCAGAACGCTGTCAATCACTTGGCAGAAACACTCTGCCTGTTTGCAAATTCTTCTGGAGATTTCCCAATAGGCATCGTCTGCCAAAGCACTCATTTCAAAACCTCTCTGCGGCCTCCTGGGGGACAGTACCAGGAACTGGATGTTTCCAAGGAGTCCAGTTGTTGTTTTCAGATATTGGATTTTTTGCTGTTGTGGGGTAAAAAAGGGACCTTTTCCCACTTTATTTTACAAAGCACTGTTGCTGGTTGGCATCAGTGCAATCCATCCCTGGGCTCACAGGACGTGCGGTTGCCTCCCTCTGTTCTCTATGGTTCTAGAACACTCACTGCTCCTCTTTGAGGGAAGACTATACACTTCTGACCCGTGGACATGAGTTCTTGGCCAGTGATTTGGGGGGTTTCCTGCTGCATCTGGAGAAGGGAAGTGAGTTGTCCCTTCTAAGTAGAAGTCCTAGGGTCTGTTACTGTTTTAAAATCACCCTGCTGCTGGGGGCCGTGGCGCACACCTGTCATCCCAGTTGCTCGGGAGGCTGAGGCAGGAGGATCACAAGTTGGAGGCCAGCCTCATCCACTTAGCGAGGCCCTAAGCAACTCAACGAAACCCTGTCTCAAAATTTAAAATAAAAAGGGCTGGGGATGTGGCTCAGGGGTTAAGTGCCCCAGGGGTCAATGCCCAGCCATGTACACATATACAAAGGTACGCAAATAAATAAGTCTGGGAATTTAGCTTAGTTGTAAAGCATTTGCTTAGTATGTAGGAGGCTCTGGGTTTAATCCTCAGTACTGGGGGATGGAGGATGATAAGAGTCCACTTATTATAATTTTTGATTTAGCCTGGGGCACTTTACCACTGAGCAACATCCCCAGTCCTTTTTATTATTACTTTAAAAAATTTTTTATTTTGAGACAGGGTCTCACTCAGTGGCTGAGGCTGGCCTCCAACTTGCAATCCTCCTGCCTCAGCCTCCTGAGGCCCTGGGATCCCAGGTGAGCACCACGGGGGGCCCAGCTCAAGATTCCAATTTTGATAAGAAGGAGCAGCAGCGGGTAGCCAGGGAGGGGGCAAATGGTGTTGAAATATCACACGGCCCACTCATAAGTATGCACATTGCCCATGAATTTAAAATACAAATTAAAAAGTCAAGGGGACGCACTTTATTGTGACAAAATGTTTTTATTGCTGTGATCTGAAGCCCGATCTGCAATACCTCAGAGGCAGGACTGCAGCGTCGGGTGCAGAACTCCTTGGGTTGCATAAATCCTGGCCGGGTCTTAGCCCTGAAATAATTTTGTCATTGAGCCTGTTGACAGGGAGAAAAAAAAAAATCGAACACTTTGGCCACAGTTTCCTTACCACAAATCTCTGCCCTCCCAGCCTCATCCTTCCCAGGGTGTCGAAATCCCTGTCATTTATTTTCTCACCTCCAAGTCTGATGTTCAAGTCCCCCCAAAGGGCTCGCTGACAGCCTGGTCCTTGGGTCATGATTAAAGGCAGCGAGGACAGAGGCTTTTCCCCAAAGTGTCCAAGGACTGATTGGCCCCGTTGGAAGACGAGCTACTAGTTAAGGATGACAAGGGACATCTTGCCCCATGGAGCAGGGCGCCCCCTGCAGGCGGAGGGAGGTGAAGGGCAGCTGGTGGGGAATCAGCAGTTTTGGCCACCAGGGGGCGCCCAAGGCCCTCTGTCCAGGCCTGGTGCTGTCTCCCCTGGAAGCCAGTCTGAGGACCATCACCCCAAATTTGGCTTTGAACCCCAGCAGCACCGCCCACCAGCCAGAGTCCTGGGCCAGGGTGCTTGATCTCACTGTGCCCCCGCCCACTCTTCTCACCTGTCACATGCAGGTAACCGGATTTACCTGAGGTTTATATTTGTACAGGGCTCAGAATCAAACCAGGACCTTAAATGAGCCAAGCAAGGACTTATGTTTTTATTTTATTTTATCTTGGTACCAGGGAGTGAACTCAGGGGCCCTAGACCACCCAGCCCCGTCCCCAGCCCCGTTTTGCATTTTATTTAGAGACAGGGTCTCGCTGAGTTGCTCAGGGCCTTGCTCAGTGGCTGAGGCTGGCCTCCACCTTGCGATCCTCCTGCCTCAGCCTCCTGAGCTGCTGAGATGACAGGTGTGGCCACCGCGCCGGGCTCAAAGCAAGTTTTTTAAAAGTCATCTCTCTTTTTTTTTTTTTTTTAATTTTAACATTGGGATTTTAAAAAGTCAATTTAAAGAGACGGTTTCAGTCTCTGAAGCAAGGAACACACACCCACCCTGTCACCTCCCAAGTCTCTGTAGCTTCCCTCTGTTGCTTCTGGGGCCCCGCTGAGCACCCCCCGGCCAGCAGGCATGGGGTTCCCCGGTGGAGGGGCCCCTGAGCCGAGGGCAGGACGCTCAGAGCAGGACTTGGCAAGGCCGCCTGGTGTCATTCACGTGGTGGGAATGTCCTGCTGCCCTGGCTGTGGCCCTAGTGTGGCTCCCGGAGACTTGGGGTGGATCCGAGAAAGGGGGTGCCCTGAGCGGTCACCTCACCCGCCGGGGGGACCATAGACCGCGTGGGCAGAGCAGCTTTGGAGCTGTGGCCAGCAGGGCTTTGTCCACCATCAGGAGGAGCCCTCTCCAAGGAGATGGACCTTCCTGCCCAGGAGCCCCAGAGCCTAAAGGCGACAGGAGGGAGACGGCTTTGTGGCTTGGGATCTGCAGCTAGAGGGAGAGTGGAAGGGGACCCCTCTCCCCACGGTCACCTCCCCCAGTGCAAACTCTGTCCTTTCAAGCCTTGTGACATGTGATACACATCCAGGACGGTGGGGACCTTAAGAACATAGCTTGTTACTGAGTAGCATGGCACACACACGCCTGCCATCCCAGCGGCTCGGGAGGCTGAGGCAGGAGGATCGCAAGGTGGAGGCCAGCCTCAGCCACTGAGCAAGGCCGTGAGCAACTCAGCGAGACCCTGTCTCTAAATAAAAGATAAAAAGGGCTGGGGACGGGGCTCAGGGGTGAAGCACCCCTGGGTTCAATCCCCAGGACCAAAAAAAAAAAAAAGAATATAGTTGGTCAAGTTTGACAGGAACCCAGCCCAGGGAGAAATCAAACATCACTCTCTTGTCCTGCCTGTCCGGCTCCTTTCCTACTTGGGACATCTCCATGACAGTCAGTGTGCCAGCCTGTGGACTCTGTAGAAATAGAATCACACTTTTATATGGCTTCACTACTGGCAGGATGCAAAGCTGTTCACCATTGCAAGGAGAGACCCCCATGTCCCCCCCAGCAACCCCCAGGCTGGGAATGGAACCCACAGGTGTCTGCCACTGAGTCACACCCCCTGACCTTTTGATTTTGTTTTGAGATTGGGCCTTGCTAAGGGGTTGAGGCCGGCCTCCAACTTGCAATCCTCCTGCCTCAGCCTCCAGAGCCACTGGGATGACAGGCGTGTGCCACTGCGTCCAGCTGAAAAACAATATGCACTCACAGTGGGTCCCTCTGAGAGGACCCACTTTGTCCCTTGAGGGTGTCCCCTTTCCCTTTTGCCATCCCTCGAGAGACTCATGCCTGTTCCTCTGAGTGACGGTCTGAGGTCTTTCTGACTTGATTGCAAGAATCGGGGTTCAAAGGGGGGGTCTTCATGCTGCCTCAGTTTCCCAGATGACCCAGGCTCTGCAGCGGGACTGTGGGGTGGTCAGAAGGAAGAAAATTAAATAAGACCAAGTCCACCAGGCAGGGCAGCAGGCTCCTCGTCCCAAGGACTTGGGAGGCTGAGGCAGGAGGATCTCAAGTTCCAGGACAGTCTGGGTGACAGAGCAAGACCCCTCCCCTATTTTTTAAAAAAGTCCAACTGGAAAAGGAGTGTGCACACGCCCCCCCCCCCACACACACACACAGAGTTGAATGGACCATGTTAAAAAGAATTGAAGGAAGCAAGTAAAAACCTCAGTTCTAAACTTCAGAAAAAAAAAATAAGGAACAGGAAACCGGTTTAAAAAAAAAGAGAGAAAGAGGAAATGATTGAAATACAAAATAAAAATAGAAATCAGAAGAAAAGACAGACCTAGGAGACAGAAAAAGAATCATAGATAAGATCTAAACACACATGAGTGGCACAAAGATTGGAATCTAGAAGAAATGAGTGATTCTCTAGGAAATTAGGAATGATCAAACTTAAGCCAAAAGAAGTGGATTTTTTTTTTTTTTTGGTACTAGGGATTGAACCTAGGGGCACTTGACCCCTGAGCCCCGTCCCCAGCCCTATTTTGCATTTTATTTAGAGACAGGGTCTCCCTGAGTTGCTCAGGGCCTCACTGAGTTTTTGAGGCTGGCCTCTAACTGGCGATCCTCCTGCCTCAGCCTCCTGAGCCACTGGGATGCCCGGCCGTCTGCTGTGCCCTTACAGAACTGGCACACAGTAGGTTTGGTGACCCGATATCGCCTTGACCATGTGAGGAACGTGTTGCGCTATGATGTCCCGGCAGCTGTGACAAGAGGAATTTCCCGCTGTTGTCCACGGGCAACGGTGCTGTGGCGAGGTCATGACCAGGTGTCCTCTTCTCCCTTCGGCTAAGGACCTTCCAAGCCGAAAGAATCTTCAGCATAACCTCAGGTGGCCGTGTCACTCGTGTCTTCCAGCCTCCTCTCCCGAGAGGAGAAGGGCTTTCTCCAGGACAGGTCCCAAGTCCTGCTGCTGCCTTGGGGGCTCTCCTGGGGACCCTGGACACGGGCCACCTGACCTTCCCAAGATCTGGCCAGCAGGGGGCAGGGGAGGGCTGCCGAGGACCCTGCACCTGGTCTGCTGGGGGCCTCTGCAGGGGCCCTGTCCCCAGGACCCAGGCCAGCGTCCAAAGTCCCAGGGAGGAGAGACTTCAGCCAATCCCCCTGCAGCGCGCAATGCGCCCCCTCACTGGTCGCCTGCGCCCTTGGGCAGGTTCCTGAGCTCAGCCTCGGTTTCAGGAGCCCGTGGCATGAGCCATGCCTATTTTTACCCACCAGAGTCAGCCTCAGGGTGACAGCAGCGACCTGGAACAGAGACCTACTATGGACCTGGCAGTGCCAGGTTTCCACGGGGCCCTTGCCGGGAGCCAAGGCTGAGCGCTTAGCCAGGGCTGCGTCCTCCTCCGCGGCCCTCCCCTGCAACCTCGGAGACCCCAGAGACCCCTGAGCCTCATCCCCAGCCCTTTTTTATATTTTATTTAGAGACAGGGTCTCCCTGAGTTGCTTAGGGCCTCGCTGTTGCTGAGGCTGGCCTCCAACTTGCAATCCTCCTGCCTCAGCCTCCCAAGCTGCTGGGATGACAGGTGTGTGCTGCCCACCTTCTGCCGGCTTCTTGAGTAACTGTCCTCTGGGAAGTTGCAGCAGGAGATGTGTGAAGAAGCCTCCTAGTTCCTTTCAGCACTGAGCATGTGGCCACTGTGTCCCCCCTCCATCCCCCACTCCCGTCTGACCCCTCTAGGTCCCCCCTGTTTGGAAAGTGTCCTTTTGGGGAAGGAAATGGAAAGACGTCCTTGCACAATTCCTCTAGCGGGGGATTAGCTCTCGGGACCCCTGAGCTGAACACCAGAAATCCAGGACTCCCTCAGGGGCAGAGGTGACCCAGGGTTGCTTGGGGGTACCTTGGGGGCTGCAGGAGTCCACACAGACCCACCTTAGAAGTAAAACCTGGTGGGGCTCGGGCTGGGGCTCAGTGGCAGAGCATCTGCCTCGCATGTGGGAGGCACTGGGTTCAATCTTCAGCACCACATAGAAATAAATGAATAAAAATATTGTGTCCATCTACAACTTAACAAAATTAAAAAAAAAAAAGTGAAACCCAGGATATAAGTTAGAGGCTTTCTTTAAAATCTAAACATAGCTGAGCATGGAAGTGCACACCTGTCATTCCAGTGGGTGGGGAGGCTGAGGCAGGAGGATCGCAAGTTGGAGGCCAGCCTCGGCAGCTTAGTGAGGCCCTGGGAAACTCAGTGAGACCCTGTCTCTAAATAAAATATCAAAAGGGCTGGGGACGGGGCTCAGGGGTTAAGCACCCTTGGGCTCCATCCCTGGCACCTAAAATAAAATAATATTCCCGAGTGGATCCATGAATGGGTGGGTGGGCGGGTGAATGAAAGGGTTGGCAGGAGGCTCGCTTTACCCGGATCCCTTCAGGGATCATGGTGTCCAGAGGGAGCCAGCAGTGGGGGAGGTGCGGAGCTGGCTTGGCCATGGGGCTGGCCAGTGGCCATCCTCAGCCAGGAGCTGGGCAGACCCAAGAGCCCTGTGGGAAGTCCAGTCCCTGTGGCCTCGCCTGCGAGTCTAAGGAGGGAGCCGAGCTGTCCCCCAGCACCTTCAACAGCTGCCCCCTGCAGGGGGCTCAGTCCTGAGTGTCCAGGTGGGACCCTGGGTGACCTGGTTAGAGAGCAGCAGTGTCCCCCAGGACACTAGGGCCTGGCACTCTGTATTTAGGGCCTCAGGCAGGGATCCACCTGGTCACTAAGGGGATGAGACTACTCGGGAGCCTCTTCTGGGCAAATGTGGCTGTGTTCTTGCTGTGTCCCTTTGACGTGGGGGACAGAGTGCTGTGCTTTACGTGTACACCACTTTATTACACGTGTGCGAGCGTGTGGCTGCGTGTGCGAACTCTCTGTATGAAACTGATCCTGAAAACCAGGTGCACACACACACATGCCACTGTGGGCTTGTCAGGGACAGACAGACGAGGATGGTGGGGACAGGAAGGCCCAGAGTGCTGACCCCCACAGACTGTCTTTGCCAAGAAGCCACTTACCTGAGCCCTGCCTGGCCTCAGTGGACAGAAAATGTCACTTTCCTCAGCAAACTGCCTGCCCACTACATGAGCAATGCTGGCCCCAAGTGACGTGGGTAAGAGGGACCCGAGCTAGGTGTGGTGTGGCTCACGACTGTCATCCCAGCGGCTCAGGAGGCTGAGGCAGGAGGATCGCAGGTTGGAGGCCAGCCTCTGTAATTTAGTGAGGCCCTAAGCCACTCAGGGAGACCCAGTCTCTAAATAAAATATATAAAGGGCTGGGGACGGGGCTCAGGGGTTAAGAGAACCATCGGCCTGGACCAAGGTGACCTAGAGTAGTCATGCAGTGGGGACCTGAAACCGGCTGTCACCCTGCTGTCCATCAAAAGTCAAGAGGTGGACCTGGGTGGGACTCTCTGGAGACTTCTCCAGGACCCCCAATAACACTGGGGAGCAGGAGAGGCCCCTGGTCCCAGTCCTCTCTGAAGGGACCCACTCTGTCCCCTGAGAGTGTCCTCTTTCCCCTTCCTGTCCCTTCAAGAGACTCCTGCCTGCTATCCTGAGTGACAGGGTCTGAAATCTTTCCGACTCGGTGGCAAGAACTGGGGTTCGAAGGGGGGGAGTCTTCCCCCGCCCTGGTTTCCCAGAAGCCCCAGCTCCTCTGTGTGACAGGGTGCCTCTGTCCACTGCCAGCATTTCTGTGCACACGACCAAGGACAGCACAGGGACCCTGGGGGCACAGCCTGCTGCAAGTCCCTGGGCCAGTCCCCAGAGCCCAGGTGTGACTGCGCTCCCTGCGTCCTGGCTCCCTCCCCCAGGTGCCCGCCCTCTGAATCTCCAGCCCTGTCCCTGTCCCCAGCACAGGGCCAGGCGGGCCTGCGGGGGCGCTCGGGATCCCAGGCTGCAGGGCGGAGGGTGGGGAGGTTGGGGACTGCATTCCTGCGCAGAGGCTGGAATTCCTGCATTCCATGCATGACACTGGGCCAGGCGGGGAGGAGGGACAGAGCCAGAGTTGGTGACTGAAGGGGGGGACCGAAGAAGAAAGGCTGGCCTGCAGCTTGGGGCCGTCTCCGGTCCTGCGCGCCCTGGCCGCCCTGGCGCAGACCCAGGGGCTGAAATGTCAGGAGCACGTGAGCCGCTTACCGAGCAGCCTGGCCCAGGCGGCCACCAGAGCCCGCCCAGAGGGAGGGTGGCCTGCTGGGGGGGGACTCAGGAGCCCAGAGGAGTCCCGGCTCCCTGCAGGTCTGTGGCTGCGCTGGGCCAGAGGTCCTGGGGCACAGGCCCAGGGGGCCAGGAAGAGGAAGGGGCCAGGTCCCCAGGGCGCAGGAGAGGGGTGAAGTCCTGGGCCCACGGGTCCCCTGCAGTTCATCACCCCCACTTTACAGATGGGGCGACTGAGACTCGGGCAGCCAGTGGGGACAAGGTAACGAGTCCTGTCCCCGTTCATGGTAAGTCCCAAGGTGACAGAGCTGGGGTCTTCTGGGAAACTGTGGCAGCATGAAGACCCCCCCCCCCCACTTCAAACCCCAAGTCTTACCATCGAGTCAGAAAGACCTGTCACTCAGAGGAGTAGGCAGGAGTCTCTTGAGGGACAGGAAAAGGCAAGGGGACACTCTCAGGGGACAGAGTGGGACCGCTCAGAGAGGAGAGGGACCAGGGGCCTCTCCTGCTCCCCAGTGTTATTGGGGGTCCCAGAGAAGTTTCCAGAGAGTCGCGCCCAGGCCCACTTCTTGGCTTTGACGGACAGCGGGGTGACATCAGACGGTCAGGTCCCCACTGCCGTGGCAGCTCTGGTCACACTTTATGGTCAGGAGGAGCCACCTTCTCTCCCAGAGTTGCAGGACCTGGTCACAGAAGTGTCCCCTTCAGGGTGACCCGGTCCCTCTTACCCAGGTCACTTGGGTCTGCATTGCTCCCACAGTGAGCAGGCCGTTTGCTGAGGACAGTGACACCCCCTGTCACTGAGGCCAGGCAGGGCTCAGGTAAGTGGCCTCTTGGTAAAGAAAGCCAGAGGGGGTCAGCACAGAGGGCTCAGTTTCTAGTTATTCTCTTAGCCTCGTGTCCCCTCCATCCTCATCTGTCTGTCCCCTGACACCATCACCATGACAACTCCCGCCACAGAGGACTTATCACCATGACAACCTTCGCCAGAGTTTCAAACTTTCAAGTGACCAGTGGGGGTAAAGTGGGCGGTATTCTAATTAGGTTTTCTAAAGTAACCAATGGAGGGAAATATTCTAATCAGGCATCATAAGGTAGCCAATGGGGGGAAATATTCTAATCAGGGATCATCAAGTAACCACTGGAGGGAAATATTCTAATCAGGCATCATAAGGTAACCAATGGGTGGAAATATTCTAATCAGGCATCATAAGGTAACCAATGGGTGGAAATATTCTAATCAGGCATCATAAGGTAACCAATGGGTGGAAATATTCTAATCAGGCATCATAAGTAACCAATGGGAGCAAAAGGGGACGGGTCTTCACTCAGGTCCTTACAGGGAAGAGAAGGACCCACTTTCAGGATAGAGGACACTGCTTTCCAGCCTCCCTCTGTCTTTCTGTCTCCCTGTCCATCTGTCTGTCTGTCCGTCTGTGTGTTTGTCTCTCTGTCCGTCTGTCTGTCTCTATCTCTGTTGGTCTCTCTTTCCGTCTGTCCATGTGTCTCTCTGTCCTTCTGTCTCTCTCTCTGTCCGTTTCTCTCTCTGTCCGTCTGTCCATCCCCACCTCCTGCTCGGCACCCCCCCTCTGCCTAACAGTCCCTTGGGCCACCAGGAGCAGGACGTGGCTGGACACCCCAGCCATCTCCTCGTCACCCTCGCGGTGCCCACGTCTCCCTGCACTCAGGACGTCCTGCTCCAGAGTCCCCGGGTCCCCTTCCCTCTCTCCCCGCACTAGGGGCACCGTCCCCGTGATTCCGAGGGGCTCTCTCCTCCCGGCTGAGCTGTCCCAGCTGCGCCAGGCCCGGGGCTGGGCAAGCCGTGGAGGTGACCCAGGCTGGGGTAGCTCTGAGCGTGGCATGAGGGGACCTGGCCCACCAAGGGTGGCAGCCATGGGGGGGTGGGCAGAGCTGGCTCAGTGGGATGGAGGCCGGGGGCGGAGGTCTCTCTGAGAGGCACAGCCACGTGCCGGGGATAGTGATGTCAGGTTCCAGCACTGGTCAGGGACCACAGCAAGAAGATGACTTCACTCCAGGTCCCGTTGTCCCCATCAGGGCTAGGGTCTAAGGGGATGCAGCCTTCTGCATAGCTGTGACAAGCTGGGCCGTCCCACAGAGGGAAGAGCAAGGAGCAGGCTGGGGTGGGAGTGGCCTGGGTGGGCGGCGGGGCAGCTGGTAGCAGAACTGCATGGGTGGGTTGCAGAAGCCCCCCTCAAAAGCTGGGCGCCCAAGCCTGTCATTTCAGCAGCCCAGGAGGCTGAGGCAGGAGGATCACAAGTGGGAGGCCAGCCTCAGCAAGGCCTGCAAAGCCCTAAGCAACTCAGGGAGACCATGTCTCTAAATAAAATATAAAAAGGGCTGGGGACGGGGCTCAGTGGTCAAGGGCCCCTGAGTTCAATCCCTGGTACCCCCATATCCCCCCCAAAAAGGAGAAGAAAAGTCAGAGACATCCTCACCCTCCTGCGGCAGCTCGGAGCAGAGGCTGGCCTGCCGTAGGAGTTTGCTCAACCACTAGTTAATATCCACCTCCCAGATTAACCTGCGGATCACAGAATAGATGCTTAAAGGTTTGTTCATTAATGGAAGAAGGTTCTAGAATAGGCTGTTGGGTCAACCCAGCATTGAGCCTCAACGTCAGTTCGGGCTGGGAAGCCACTGAAATTTGTCCCAGCTGGTCAGGGTCCCTGTTTTAGCCACGCAGGGGGCACACCCTTTCCTTTCTGTCAGCAGGGGTGCTTAACCCCTGAGCCCCTTCCCCAGCCCTTTTTATTTTTTATTTAGAGACAGGGTCTCGCTGAGTTGCTTAGGGTCTCGCTGAGTTGCTGAGACTGGCCTCCAACTTGCAGTCCTCCTGCCTCAGCCTCCTGAGCTGCTGGGATGACAGGCATGTGCCCCTGCGCTCAGCTCTCAGCAGTTTGGACACTGAGTGGTTCTTCAAGGGGTCCACGGTGCTAGCAGCCCCAAGACCCCGCCAAGGGGTCTTCAAAGGTATAATACCAAGATGTGCCTCCTTTTCTGACTCCCCTTGTTGCCTGAGGGTACGGCAGCCCGTCAGGGTTTAGGAGTGATGATGCCCCAGTTCTGACAGCGGGTGGGATATGTGCGCTTTAAAATCTGTTTTGCCAAGCACCCTGGCGCACACCTGTCATCCCAGCTACTTGGGAGGCTGAGGCAGGAGGATCGCAAGTTGGAGGCCAGCCTCTCCAACTTAGCAAGACCCTGAGCCACTCAGGGAGACCCCTGTCTGAAAATAAAATAGAAAGTGGGCCTGGGTTCAGTCTCCGGTACCACACACACACTCACACTCACACACATCCACACTCACACTCACACATCCACACTCATGGTGAGGGTCACACGCACGTGAGCTCTTTGCTGCGTGCAGACCGTCCCCTGCCAGGCTGCCAGCTCCCCTGCCCTGGACTCGTCCACCCCGAGGTGCCCACGGGTTCCGAGGACTCTTAGCAGCTATTCAAAGTCCAGCAAACAAGAACAAACCCGGCTCTGGCAAGATCCCCAGGCGGGCGGCCGGCCAGCTCCCTGAGCCCAGATTTTCCTACATGTCCAAGGTGTGAGAAAAGTAACACACTTGTTGTTGATCTGGTTGGAAAGGGGCCTGGGTGTTCAAAAACCACTGTGTTTTTTTTTTTTTTTGAACGGGGTGGCGAAGTACATTCTGTGATTCTTGACCAAAATACCAAGCTGACGTCAAACACACTCCTTGATGGGAAGAAAATATTTTGTTTGGAAATGGATCCCTGGATACTCACATGGAGGGTAAAAGGGACTCTTCCCTGAGCTGAGGCAGGAAGGACCCGTGGGCAGGGTCCCCCTGTTCCCCACTCCCTCCCACCCCCAGTGGGCTGTTGTCACAAAAGGGTACAGAAATAAAACCCATTCAGCATTCAATCAGAGATGAGAAATTCTGCGAATGAACTGGGAAGAACTAAGGAAACACACTGGACCTCAAATAGAAGATTGGAAAAAAAACACAAAACCCTACAAATTCTTTAGTAAATGGAGAGGTATACCAGAGCTCAGAATAGAAAGGCAGAATCTTGCAAAAAAATGTCCTGTCTCTAGCAAGAAATATTTGTCGCTGGGTGTGGTGGCCCACGCACGACTGTCCTCTCAGCAGCTCGGGAGGCTGAGGTAGGAGGATTGCAAATGGGAGGCCAGCCTCAGCTATTCAGCGAGGCCCTGAGCAACTCAGGGAGACCCTGTCTCTAAATAAAATACAAAATAGGCCTGGGGATGGGGCTCAGGGGTCGAGGGCTACTGAGTTTAGTCCCTGGTACCAAAAATAAAAAAAAGAAAGAAATATTTGAAAAGAAAATCAAAGGGCTTGGAATGGGATCTGCCTTATCAGAGATTACAGCTATAATCTGTCAAACACTGACTTCCTCATGAGAGACCAGAATAGAAGGGAAAAGAAATCTGCGTGTCCACCTGAAGTTACATAAACAGTTCATATGTGAAAAGATGATCTCTCCACTCAGTGGGGGAAACAGACTTTATTTTCCCTGCCCAATAAACTATTTGGACAAATGGCCACCCCCTTGAAATGAAATAAAGTGAGTGTCTTGTCCCTCCTTCTGCATGGATTAGAGATTCAAAGGTAACAGGAAACCGTAAAAATCTTAGAGGCATATTTCTGAGAATATTTATGTAATCTTGTGGTCAATGGAGAACTTATTAGGCATGAAACTAAAAGCCAAAACAGTAAGGGAAAAGTGCCAGGCTCGGGGGGCACGTGCCTGTTAGCCCAGCAACTCGGGAGGCTGAGGCAGGAGGATTGCGAGTTCAAAGCCAGCCTCAGCCAAAGTGAGGCCCTGAGCTACTCAGGGAGACCCTGTCTAAATAAAATGCGAAATAGGGCTGGGGACGGGGCTCAGGGGTCGAGGGCCCCCGAGTTCAATCCCTGGTACCATAAAAAAAAAAAGGTAAGTGAATTTGACCAGAAAAATTAAAAATGGACTCCTGTTCTGCCTGCAGCTCCTCTGCCTTCTCATGAGCCTGGGGAAAGATAAAACAGACTGTGTTCATCCGGGTACTTCATGCTCATCTAATGTCTGTGGGGAAAAAATGTCTCCTGCCTTAATGAAGTTTGCTGTTGTTTGACTCTAAATGTCCCTCTGAGGTGCCAGATTTGGTCCTTACTTTGGTGCTATGGAAAATCGGTGGGCCCTTTAAGAGGTGGGGCCTAAGGGGAGGTTTTTAGATCATTGGGGGGCATGCCCTTGAGGAGGACTGTGTCCTTCCACCCCTTCCTCACTCTCTTCCCTTCCTGGCCAGGGAATGAATGGTCTGCTCCACCAAGTCCTCCCGCCCTGCTGGGCTGCCTCACCCAACGCAGCAGGGCCAGCCCATCATGGAGACCAAGTGAACCTTTCTTCTCTTTACAAGCTGATGTTCCTAGCCATGTGTTACAGCAACGGAAAACCGACGAACAGAGCAGCCCAGCTGGCACGACCCCTGAGCTGGGGTCTTCTGGAATCTTCATGGGCACCGAAGTCGGTCCTTCTTCCTGTACACTCCCCTCACCTTTATGATTTTTCCGTCACCCCGGGCTACTTCCTTTCGTTTGTACCCATTGTGCAATTAAATCATAAACCATCACAAATAAGTAATAATAATAATAAAGGCCAAATCATAAATTACCACACATAAATGTGCAATCGCACCTTGAGGCCAGTTCCTGATTATAGTCTTCTGTGTCGTTTAAGGTCTATCAGAAAAAAATATTGATTTTCCATTGATGGCAGAGATAGTGCTTTCCTCCTAGCTGTGCTTTGGGACCCAGAGGGGTGACGGGCAAGGTTAAGCACACAGAATGCAGGTGGCACGCGCTCACGGGGCGCTTGTGACCTTGACAAGGGAGGTGGCGGAAAATGGGGACGGTGAAGGCAGGGGACTTCATGATGGGGCTAGGAGCCAGCAGAGTGGGCCCAGGAGGAGGTCTAGTCAGAAATGGGGACGCTGGAGCTCACGGGGCCACTGGCCACGCCCCCCACTCTGTCCCCCATCAGGCGGGCTTGTAGAGGACACCTTGCTCTCGAGGGTGTGTCTGAGTGAATTCATAATGAGCAGGACACAGAAAGGCGCCCGGCACTCCGTGGACATCAGCGTCCATTCCACGGGCTCCCCTGCAGACCGTCCAGTGTGAGGCCACAGCAAGGCCACATAAGGGCGAGTCGGACATCAGCTCAGAGGGTTCCAGACAGGAGGATGTCCCCCGAGAGAGAGAGAGAAGCCTAGAAACAGACTCCAAACTTTTCTGTCCTCAGCAGCCTCTACCCATTGATCTCCAGCCTCCCTCCTTCCTCCTACTCTTCCCTTGTTACTCACTAAGTGGCTGAGGCTGGCCTCCAACTTGCGATCCTCCTGCCTCAGCCTCCCTTGGAGCTGCTGGGACTCTGGGCTTTGCCTTTTCCCCATCTTGAGTGACTTGGCTCCCTGACACTTCTTTACAAAGTGATTCATTGCTTTCAGGTTTTCAGATGCATTAAGGATTCTTTACTGTTTTTTTTTTTCCCACATTTAAATCGTGTCCTGATTTCTTTGGCTTATTTCCAGTGGCTTCCGTTCCCCTTCCCTGAGGCCCTGGCATCTACCACTGTGGCTCGGGGAGTCACCCGGGGGACTGGGGCTGGTGGCACGGGACGGACACAGACCCCTGGGTCTCCAGTCGGAGGGGGCTGTGGCCCTGGCTGGCTGTGGGTCCCTGAGCCTCTACCTCTCTGGAGAGCCTCTATTCCCTTCTGTATGGGAGGCAGAGCCTCGGATCGGCTGCCCCCGGGGCCGGCTCCCTCCATTGTGCCCGGGGTTGGCTGGGGATCCCAGGCCTGGGGCAGACAGAAGGCTTTTGAGTCAGGCTGGCAGGGCTGAGTCCTGGGCGACCGGAGCTTCGAGGAGAGAATGCTTTGATGGGACCCACCCTTCCCAGGGCCAGGCTCAGCCTGTCATCCATCAGGGACTGTGCTCTGGTGGGACAGGCCAAGTCTTGCCAGCAAGTCACTGTATGGCCTCCTCCTGCCCCTGGAGGCGCCCCTCGCAGGAGCCCACGGGGGTGACAGGAACAAGGGGGCCCCCTGGTCCACGGCCAAGGCCAGCTCAGCCTGCTCCCACCTCGGCCTCCACCACCAGGAGGGCCCTGGGAACCAGCTGCAGGGGAACTCACGGGCCACCCAAGAGACTCAGTTCCCCAGAAGCAGAACGAGCCCCCAAAGCTCAAATCCTGTCCCAAGTGGCTCCCTGGGGACCCCGCACGCCCACGGAAATGACCTCAGAAGTAACCACGCACAGAGCTGTCTCTGTTCCTGTCCCCGGCCTGGGACCCTGCCCACTGCTACCTGGGCCTGCTTCTTACCCAACCACTGGGCCCCTCATTCCCGCCTCAGACGTCCCAGGACATGGAGCAGATGATCCGTTGGCCAGCCAAGTCCAAAGTCCACTCAGGGGCTCGCTGTCCCTTCCTCCCTGAGAATGCTTGTTGCGGGTCTTTGCTCTCACATTCAGCCTCTCATTAACAGGTGGCAATAATTCCGCTACGGCTGGGTGAGGTGTGCACACCTGTGATCCCAGCAGCTCGGCGGAGGCTGAGGCAGGAGGATCGCAAGTTGGAGGCCAGCCTCAGCCACTTAGTAAGGCCCTAAGCAACTCAGGGAGACCCTGTCTCTAAATAAAATATAAAATAGGGCTGGGGACGAGGCTCAGGGGTTGAGTCACCCCTGGGTTCAATCCCCAGTATCAAAAATAAATTATCATCGTGAATCGTTGACCACTGTGTGTGTCCCTGCATTCCCTGGGGCCAGAACCCATGAGGGTCACTTCGGATTGACACACACTGCCCCTGGCCTTCCTCCCACACGGAGCTCATTATTTATTTATTTTTGGTTAGTGAGGCCCTAAGAACTCAGGATCTCTCTGAGTTGCTTAGGGCCTTGCTAAGTTGCTGAGGCTGGCCTCCAACTTGCAATCCTCCTGCCTCGGCCTCCCGAGCCGCTGGGAGGACAGGTGTGGGCGGCTGTGCCCGGCTTGCCATGGATTTTGATACCCAGGTGCGCTTTCTTGTGCCTCTCATTCTTTCCACCTCTATTCGGTGGAGCGTGTGGGGAGAAGGTAGCACGCCAGTCAGCAGAACCGGGGACAGGAGAGAGAGCAAGGTACAAAGGGTGCCCAGGTCACTTTTTAACCCACTACCTTTCTCTGCCCATGGATTGACCCTTAGTTGCCTTTGACCTTGCTGGCTCAGGCCCATTGATGCTGCTGAGATCAGCAGCCAGGCCTGGGCCTCGCAGGGTCTCCACTGAGGCCTCTCCAGACAGAAAGACCTGGCTCCTTTTTAAAAATTTGGGTCCCAGGGATGGAACCCAGGGGTCTAACCACAGAGCCCAGTCCCCAGCCCCTTTTTATATTTTATTCAGAGACAGGGTCTCGCTGAGTTGCTCAGGGCCTCACTTTGGCTGAGGCTGGCTTTGAACTTGTGATCCTCCTGCCTCAGCCTCCTGATCTGCGGGGTTGACAGGCGTGGGCCACTGCACACCACACCCAGCCAGTCTGTCCTTATGCCTAACTTCCAGCTGTACTTCCTGTCTGGGTGAACCTGGGTGGACCTTCATCATCCTGGGGCAGACAGAGCAGTGGCCAGGGTAGCAGGAGGGCCTGGGCTGACTCCCTGGTTCTTCTCTTCCTGAGCACCCTAATCCTGGGTGGGTCCCTTCCCCTCTCTGCATGCCTCAGTTTCCATAGCTGTAAAATCCCAGAATCAGGGAGATGGGCAAGATGGCAGCAAAGAGGCACCCTGCATGGCTGCGTGCCCAGGTCAGCAACTGGGAAAATGCTCAATTTCAACAGCAGGGGGCAGCCACCAGGTTGGAGCTAGAGATGGGTGACAATGGTGTAGCAAAAGAAAAAGAAAATATCGGACGGAACACCTCTCGGGCGTGGCCCACAGGCGAGGCCAGCTCTGTGACCTCCGCTGAGAGGGATTCCACCTCTTCAGTCGGGATTCACCCCAGCTCGAGAGCAGGGGACTGCAGCTGAAGGAACTGGGGACCGTGGCAGGGACCTGTGGACAAAGTCCTGCCTCTGGGCCCAAACCTAAGAACTCCCAGAGAGAAGGCCTGTCCATAGAGGCCACCACTTGCCCTCACGCCTTCTCCCAGCTCCTGACTGAGAGGACGGACCTACCTACCTTCCTCCCTCCCTCCCTTTCTTCTTCCTCCTCCTCCTCCTCCTCCTCCTCCTCCTCCTCCTCCTTCTCCTCCTCCTTCTCCTCTTTCTCCTCCTCCTCCTCCTCCTGCTCTTCCTCTTTCTCCTCGTGCTCCTCCTCCTCTTCCTTCTCCTCCTTCCCTCCTTTACCTCCTTCCCTCCCTCCTCCTCCTCCTCTTCCTCCTCCTCCTCCTCCTCCTCCTCCTTCCTCTTCTCTCTTTCCCCCCCTGTGGCTGTTATTGCTGGAGGCTGAGGCTGGCTCTGACCCGTTTGGGGAGCTAATGTAGGACTCCATGGATCAGAGAGCCCCCTGGTCTTGGTTCTCCAGGGTTCTGGGGAAATGCAAGATCCTCACAGAGAAGCCATGAACATTCTCTCTTCTTAATGCTGAGAAACCAGCTTGGTGTTGGGCGGGGGCAAGGTTAGAGGGAAGGGGACAGCAGGCACACATTGCTGGGTATAAAAGGAAAACAAGTGGCCCCGCGTGAAGGGCCCCCGTGGCACAGAGACAAGCTATGAGGTCTTATTTACCCACCACCCGAGCCTCAGTTAGCTTAAGTGGAAAATGGAGATATTAAAAATGCCTGCCTCATAGGAGGGTTCTGTGGATAAATCCATTAATGCTCTGGACCCAGGATTCCCCATGTTCCAGAACTTTCCTTTCCATACTGAACAATGCAGATTTCTGTCCCTGTTCATGAAGCTTCCAGCTCCCAACCAGACATATTTTTTTTTTCTTTTTTTTGCTACTGAGAGAAAAGCAGAACTTGAGAGGTGGCACTTTCTTGCTAACAAGGAATGAGGTCTGGGGACCCCAGAAAGTGCCACCTTTTTGTAGCAGGAGCTGCAGAAATGTGAGCTCACAGGATTAATAGTCAGTCAGGAGGAAAGCAGAGTTAATAAAAGTGACTCACCCCATTGCACACACACACACCCCCGATTTTTCTATTTCCTATTCCATTTATTTACAATCTGATCTTTATTATTTCCTTCCTTCAGCGTTGGCTGGATTGAATTTGCCTCTTTATTTTTATTTTATTTTTTAGTTCCTTAAAACAAAAACTGAGCACGTTGGACAGAGGCCTTCTTCCTCGTCCAATATAAGCATTTAGGGCTATCAACATCCTCTAGTGTTGCTTTCCTAATCTCCCACGATTTTTAGTATGTTATGTTTTTCCATTTTATTCTGTTTTCAAAGACTTTAGGATTTCCTTTTTCATTTCTCCCTCGGCCCCCGGGGGTAATTTTAAAGTAGGCTCGTTACTTCTCAGAAACTTGGGGGCTTTCCAGGTGGCTCTCAGTTACGAATGTCTAATTTAGTTCGATTACGGTCAGAGATTATTCTTGGTGTGACTTAAATCAGTTAAATTTTTTTTCATGGCCCAGATTCTGGTGGTGCAGAAACAGGAGAGTGAGGGTCTGCTGTGTCGGGGTGGAGTGTCCTGGGGGTGTCGGGGA